TGTTCAGTGACCAGAAATACAATGCGCAAACAGTGCGCAAACGGTATATCGGAGTTTACATCGACAAGTACAATTTGTCGCCGGAAACATTGAACCATGCACTGCGCGCTATCCTTTACGATACGACGTAAGCTTCCTGTATCCGAACTTTTGAGACTAGCTTTTATTGCTGTTCATTCATTCTCCAGCACAGACAAGTTTTCTTGGACCGAAACAGCAGATTCTACCATTTACAGTTTTACGTTGGACGAGCTTCCGTATATGTAGAATTCATATTCCAGCTTTTCAAATATAAATATTGTTTTTGTTGTCTGATCATAAGTAGAAGAGCGGGGAAAATTCAACCGGTGGAAATAGCAATTAACAGCTTTCTCGGACCCAGGTGGAATGCATCAAATGAAGACTAAGAGAGATGTAGTTTGCCTTTCGACATCACACGGAAATCCCAGCAGTGTAGCAGCAGCACTAAGTTATATTGCATTCCAGTGTTGCTTAGCTGAATAACTTTAGATTTGCACGAAATATTGTAATTTCAGGTATCGCAAATCTTCGGAACGCCTCCGTGAGATGATTCGGAATAAACCCTTTTCACCACGTGAACGTCTGTTAAAGTACGTCGATTTTGCGCTGAAATTTGGGCCGATCGAGAATTTGGACGTGGCTGCCAACGATCTATCATTTGTGCAATACTACCTGCTCGATATTATTTTCCCTCTGCTCTTGCTGATTACTCTTATCACTGTTCTCTTGCTTTCGTTTATAACCAGACTTGCGCGCAAGTTGTTTCTAGCACCAAAAATAAAAAATGAGTAAAAAGTAATTTGTTGAAAGTGAAGTGCTATCCGAATCGCTCAAAGCAGACAGGAGGAAAATCAGCAGTAGGAACTTTAATAATCTGGCTGAGCTGTATCCATTCGTGCGGTCAGCTATTCAAAGCCACGTCTAGATCCGCATAATATTTATACTGTTCATATTTGGCTAAAAATTTCTTAGTGTCTGTTTCAGAACACAGCAGTAAACAATAAATGCAGTTCAGTTTACAGCCTATCTTTTTTTTCGACTTATCTACAAGGT